CAATTTATGTAGCAAAACTGAAAGCTTTGACGCCTCAATCTGCCAACACAAATAGGATAAATGGAACTGATTAGTAAAAATTAGCAAAAAATCAATTTTCAAAGGAAACATTTTCAGAGACCACCTATTCTTTTCTGACAGTTTTTCTACAGAGGACTTTAATTTAGGCATCAATACCATAGCGGAAGAAATATTTTATGAAAAATAAAAAATTAATTTCTTCCTTCATCCTAGAGCTTGCCCCCATGTACAAAGCAGAGTATCAAGACTTTCAAAAGAGAGATTTCAATCCCAAACTAGTATATTTACAAAAATTGGTTATACAGAAAACAAAAAAAAAAAAAAAAAAAAAAAAAAAAAAAAAAAAAGGAGCATACTATGTTTGTCTCAGAAACTATGGTTTACTGTGATAGGCTGGAATAATTCAGTGAGGAATACTATTTACAGTGCATTATGTGAAATAAAATGTGATGCAAAAGCAGTCAAAAGAAGAGACGGCTAAGTGTGAAATTTCCTTTGTAGTCAGCCGCTGATCCACAGATGAGTCACTCATAAAGGCTCACTCAGGTTTCATCTCATCACCAGCTCTGAATCTTCTGAAACCTTTTCCAGAGATTCAATTTAGTCAGACGTGCTTCAGTCATCATGCCACGTTCAGCAGTGCTGCACAGAATACTGCACAGAGTTCTTCTCTCCCCACCGCTTTTCTTTGTCACCTCTGCAACGTGAGGACACTGGCTGTGCCAATTCCATGCTGCAAGAGCTCTTCATTCCCTTACACCTGGAGCTATTTGGCTTGCTGGTTTCAAAACATGGACAGAGCTGGACAGCAAGCCATAATGGGAGCATTGAAACCAACAGACAGCTGAGCAGCTGGTGGAGCCTCCCTCAGCACAGCAAGCCTTAGTGGTAGCATATCAGGAATAACTCAGAGAGAAGTACCTAAAAGGCTGGCACTGCAGAGGCACATCCATAGCAGCACCACCAAAATGGGGGTGGCTCTGCCAGTTTTGGCTTTTCAAACCCATAATCTCTGATGCAGGAAAATGCAAAAGCATTCATTATGAAGAAGAGTTACTGAGCATGAAGTTACTGCTTTGCAAAGCAATTATCAAATACAACACAAACATACCCACATTTGTGCATTTTGTAGTCTAGAACATTTTTTTATTAAAGCTCCCTTGTTCTACAATCCAATAAGACTAAGAAAGCACGAAAAGCCCTTTTGCTACTAGAAGAGGAGTGTTTATAACCAAGCCTGCTAGCTTGCACTCCAGACTTCAGTTCTCTGATGTGTAAGAAATAGACTACAATAATAGTACCCATGCTGGTTCTACTGGTTTCCATGGGCTAAAACACTTCTGAGTGGAAATAACATGGCATTTTCCCACTGCCTTCTCTTATTCCCTTTGCCTGAGAGAAAGACACTCTCAGTAGCACTGCCAGTCTTGGGAGCCATAAAAGCAAAGCTTGAACTCAGGACCTGAGCACCAGGCAATGTGTTATTCTGGCCCTTCTCTGCTAGTGCTGCCTTCCAACACAAGAGGTTTCCATCACACCACAGCCCCTCCCGACTCTGTCTGGACCTGATACAGCACTAAGTTGTTCTGTCACTACACCCACAAGTTACAGCATCTGATGTGGACAATAAATTGAATAATGTTTATTTTTTTATTTGGTTCAGTTTGGGTTTTTTTATTTGTTTTGTTTTGTTTTTCTAGCGCCCTGAGCTAGTATTTTTAATCAGTGACAGGAATCTCATGCACATGGTTCATAAACAAGAAAATTCAATTACTAAAACGAAACAGCAACAGAGCAACCCAAAATAGCAGTCAGAAATTAACTAATAATAACGCCTTCTTCCAGTTTTATATTTGAACATTTTTCAATCTCCTTTCCAGCACAGCATATATTTGACAGTCATGAAATAGTGGTGATAAGTGCAAAGTGGGCTGCCTGCTTTTGGCATTCTCTCTTTCTTTAAAAATGTCACTCAGCCCCAAATCACATGAGATTGTAAGTATTTTCCAGGATTAGAAACCTTCCCTTTCTGAATGGAATTACACTCCATGAAAGACTGAAGCCTCAGCAAAACTACAAAACCAATAATTTCACTGAACTTGCACAAAGTAGTCTTCATGTGTGTCTCTGAGCCTCCCTTACTGTGCAGCACTGGGGTACACTGTGTGAGCCTCTCCCAGAATATCCATAACGGAGTCCCAACTCTAAAGCAAGAAGCAAGCAACTGTTATTCCCTTCAGATTCGATGGTTTTCAAGAGCCACCAGAAGAGGGACTGGAAATTAATCACTCTTTACTATCCCTGAAGTGGTCAGAACCAAGATTACAGAACTTTCAGGTACTGTCTTCCACAGAATGTATGCTAAAAACTCCAGCATGACCCCAGTCCTGGTGCATCCATGGATATCTGTATAGCATGGTAAATGGTGGACATGATCCAGAAGATAGACATTTTCCTGCTTCAAGGCTGTGGTTTCTGGAAGCCATGGAAAACTTTGCCCAAAGTAGATCTGTTAGATCTACTAAGAGATCTGAGATGCACATCTTGAAATCCATGGGACCTCTTGCCTGTTCTGATCAATTCCCTATGCTTCCGATTTGCCAGTGTTTCTCAAATGAGAAATTAAAATTTGACATCCAACATCCAATGAATCTTCTACCTATGTTTTGCTTCAAAGGAAGATTTCTGATTAGCTCTACCTAATGTTTCTGTCTGTTTCTGTTGCACGCTGGCACTGCTTCTCTGAAGGCACTGAATCCAGAAACAGCAACAAAGCTGTGCTGAATTCCCCAGCCGAGGCCTGGGGACAAAATGTTTTCTACAGAGAAAGGAACGATACTATATTATTTATCCTGTGTTATTTGAACAGCAAATATTCACAGTCAATATGAGTATATATGATTCTACAAGGCATACAGACTTCCCTTCCACACCTGGGACTCCAAGGGACAAAGTAACACTCTCTTCTTTAAACTTTGGTATGCTGAATTTGTATCCTTATTTGATAGAACCATAGAATCTCTTAGGTTAAGAAGTCCCCTAAGGTCACCGAGTTCATCTGTTAACCCAGCAACACGTTCACCACTGAAGCATGTCCCCACATGCCACATCCACATGACTTTCAAACTCCCCCAGTGATACCATCACTTCCCTGGGCAGCCTATTCCAATCACACTGACTTCCTTTTCTGTGAATAAATGTTTCCTAATATAGAATCTAATCCTCCCCTGGTGCAACTGGAGGCCACTTCCTCTCATCTTGTCACTTGCTACATGGAGAAGAGACCGGCTCCCACCGCGCTACAACCACGTCTCCAAGTGCCGCATCTGCGCGTCTTTTAAATATCTCCAGGGACTGTGATTCAGCCACTTCCCTGGGCAGCCTGTTCCAATGTTTGACAACCCTTGCTGTGAAGAAATTTTTCATTCATGCACGGTCGATATTAAACCAGCAGAAAAAGCAGAACGGTTCATGATATTTGCTTGGGATGCTTGAGAAACAAAAGAAGAGGTTGTAAGGCAAAAGCCAGGAAAAAAGATTGCTATATGATATGAGCAGATACAGGATATAAAAATGGCATGAACTGGGTATAAAAATAGACATTTTCAGTAGTTAAGGTACTTATGTTTATTTTGACAATGTAGATAAATTGATCTCAAGATAGAAGAACTGTCAGACATGGGGTAGTCCTGGACCCATTAACAAGTCTTGTACTGAATTATGTAAATCATTTAAATGAATGAGATGCACCAGATGGTTTTCAGCAGGAGAATTAAACCTTAGTGTGTACATCTGCATTACCTGCTTGCAGTTAAAATCTTCTCCATGGCTTTCAATTCAGATACTCTTTTATTTCCCCATCTGTATTTTTTTATCATTATGACTATTTATTTTTCCAGTAAAGGGAATTCCTTTGTCCTGATATCTTAGTTCTAAGCAGAGCTGCCAACTGTGATGAGAATCTGGTTTCATAAAACAGTTGATAAAAATGTTTTATTGGTTCAGAATTGTTGCACATATGAGTGCTGATAATTCAGGTGTAGTTCTGCATTACATTTACTATAGCAGACAAAATCATTAATCATTATAAACAAATATAGCTTGAAATTACTCTTATGATATTGGTTTTGATAAACAGGTAGTAGTTTTGCCACTGTGAACTCTTTTAATTTAAAGTTGATAGAAAAAAACCCAGTCTTACTCAACGACTGAATGAAAAAGCCTCACTGCAAGCATTTTAGTGAAAAAAATGAAAGATGTTCAGTTCAAACTGACATGACTTGTTAATGTCAGATACTGCTGAATACCTTGAATTTTTCTTCCAAAGATTAAAAAAGGAGGCATTCACTGGATAAAATAACACTCCAAGCAAGGAAATAGGCTGGAGCAGAATCAGCATAGACCTTGCCAACATGATGCTTCAGAAATCCATCTGAAAGTTTCTCTAGGACTTAACATTTTCCTGCTGGTCTTAAACAGCAGCAGATGACAATGCCACACACAGCATTGAACTATGCTGGCCAATTAATTAGCATGGCAGAACTAATCCTTTATCTGTTCTCTCCCACGGTAAATGCATCTCCTCTAAGTGAAGTGAGGAAAGGTGTGCTCAGATCCTGGATTCACTTACATAGGAAATCTACACAGGTAGTTAAAATCAAAGTTAGATTATATTTGATTTAGACAAATAAATGCCTTTGTGGATCTCAACCTTTATTTTCAAGCTAGCTTCCCTTCCACTGTCTTCTTCTTACTCTTACTTGCCATACAGATCATACTCACTTCCACATCTGTATGCCTACATATATTCTTCTGTGTCAGTTCCTGAAAATGAAAGTGGCCAAGTTTGTCCACAAAAAGGTGTGGTTGGTTGTCACCAGACAGTGACGTTTTTATGCAAGTCTTCGTGGTTTTTTTCCATACTGACAGTCTTTGCAATGTAAAAATAGGGAGAGTATATACAAATTAAAGAAACCTACCCGACTGCCTTCAAACCTCGAGCGATCATTGTTTGCCTTTGTTGTTTTTTCTGCAAGTTTCTTCTGCCTTTGAGGGCCTTTTCCAAAGAAAATGTAGTTGACAAAGGCATATTCAAGTAAGGCCAAGAAGACAAACACAAAGCAGCCCATGAGATACATGTCAATGGCTTTAACATATGGAATTTTAGGCAAAGTCTCTCGCAGGTGAGTGTTGATTGTTGTCATAGTCAGCACAGTCGTAATTCCTACACAAAGAAAAAAGATCACATATCTTACAACTCCAAGCATTCAATTTTATTTCCCTTCTAGGCAAATATGCCTTGTCAGTGGGAAGAAGCTTAAAAATTTGTAAAAGATGTCTTGCAGATGACATCACTGGAAAAAAAAAGCAAAATTAAAACTTGATGCATTATTATTTTGTTACAATTATTTCCTTCCTATGAGCGGGAGAACAGCTAACAGGGGGGTCTGGCACCACTGCCAGGAGTTAATGTAGCTTCATGGAAGCCAGGGTAGCTGTACTGAAAATCTCCTCCACGGAGACCAAACTGATGTGCAACAACAACAGCATTCACACAGATGGTGAAAGACTTCTCCTGCAGTTTTAAATTTTTAAGAGTTAGGCAGTTGGTTGATGTCAGTCCTGCAGGGTCTCCCTGTAGTAGATGAGGAGAGGCAGGTACATTTCTAAAGCAGTTAATCCAATCTATTTTAGATACCTATTTCAGGAAAGGACAATATATAAGTGGAATTTGAGATGAATAATTTGGAGCAGTAGGCTAGTTACACAGAAACAAGTGAGGTGAACAATGAGAGACAGACAGGCATGTGAATTTTTGGAAGGAAGAAGGAGGGAGAGCAGCATTTTTATAGCAACAAACTGGACACTAATAAAACATCTAAAAAATATCTATATCAACCTTATGTCAAGGTATTTATCTAAGGTTGGAAATAGCACCTGAAAATATATTACAGAGCACCGTTTTGAAAATCTGGGAAGAAAAGCAAATTTATTGTCAGTCTGAATTCACAATAAACTAAAGGATCTGTATCTCTGCTGGAAATTCTATGGGAATTGTCAATCACAGGTTGCTGAAAACACTGATTTGTGGAATAAGTCTCATTTCAAGGCAAGTCATTCTATTAGGTCTCCTCCATTACTATTTTCTTTGATTCCATAATTATACCATCAGTTTACAAGTAGTCACTAAAATACAAGTAGAACAAAAATAAAGGACTAAATAAAATTGGTGCCATATAATAAAGCACAGCTTCTTTTTCCTGAAGAGATAGAAATAAAGACAACATAACTCAAAATCAAGCTGTCAGTGTAAGCAGTGTCACTCCAGAGAACTGTAGTAATACCCTATCAGATTGTGTTACAGATATTTTGGATATTTAGCAGGTTAGTGCCATACAGTTTTCAGAGATTTTCCTCTAAACTGTGAAACAAGTGTGCATTGATGCCAGATGTCTGATGATCCAGAAGATTAAGCACACTGAATAGAAAGGTGGCTATCACTAACCAAAGGAAAATATATTCCCTGGGAGATCCTGTGGCCAAATGTCCTTCTGAAGCTCAGTATTTATTTTAAAGCACAGCTGGAGGGGAAAAAGCTGCCACTCCCCTAAAACATGAAAATAATATAATCTTGTGATTATAGTCCTTCCCACAAGGGAGGACTCTAGAGATTATTCTCCTTACTCAAAGGACTGAATTTAGTAACTTCTAGGGCTAACTAGCAAAAATTTGAGAGAGCAGAACTGATAGGTTTGAGTATTTCTCTTGAGGTCAGCCCTACATCACCATCTGCCTGCAGTGTCCATAGCACAGTCTCTGGAATGAGCTGGCCTCTGCTCTGTGCCTTGGCTTCACTCTGGAGGAAACTATTTGGTTCAGTGCAGCAAGGGTTTAGACACAGGGACAAAACATGGAAGTGAATGAATAGAATCAGGCTCTTGCAGAGAATACAGGCTTCTTGTAGGAGTTGAGTGAAAGCCTGTGTCCCAAGAATTGCACAGGGAATGCTTCCCCAAACAAATACTTAGGAAATCAGGTGTACCTTTCTGTACTGTGCTTTTCAGAGTCAATCATATCCGTCCAAAGGTGCTATATTGCCTTTAAACTTTTATACCACTTCACATTAGGATGCCATGTAAGTTCACAGACACTACATAACTGGGAGCAGCTGTTGCCTCCCCTGGAGGCAGGAAGGCCCTGCAGAGAGACCTCAATAAAGTAGAGGACTGGGAAGGCCAAGTTGTGTCAGGGAAAGTTTAGGTTGGATATTATAAAAAGGTTCTTCACCCAGAGGGTGGTTGGGCACTAGAACAGGCTCCCCAGGGTAGTGGTCACAGCACCAGCCTGACAGAGTTCAAGAAGCATTTGGACAATCCTCTTGGGCCCATGGTGTGACTCTGGGAGATGGTTCTGTGCAGGGACAGGACCTGGACTCCTGGGGGTCCTTGTAGGACTTTCCAACTCACCATTTTCTGTGATTCTGTGATACCCGCTTAAGACTAATAAGAGAGGAGTATACAAAGGAACATAGGATTAGACCCTTGATACTGAACATTATTATACAAATGTCACAGACATAATCACCAAGGCACTAATTGTTTTCAGAGAAGAAACTGTTAGATGGATTTTTGTCCTCTCAAAAGGACTTTCTACCAACTGGAAATAGAACATCTGGTCTCCTGAGCTTGCCTTGTAGTCTCTGATTTTTATTCTAATATTTGTCTTACAGTACTTAATGAACTTGTGCTACACAGAAATGGGCCACATGAGACAGTCTTGCTCCTTAAACAAGGAAAAAAATCTCACGAACCTGTAACAGAAGGGCATGGATGTCACTGGCTATGATAACTTCTGTCTAACCATCTGTTCTCTGCAGTCCTGGCCAGTATGTATCTAAATGCTGACAGTTGTGTTTGCAGTCCTGCCCTCACTTTGTCCACCTAGGCGGATCTCTGCTATCCAGCAGCTCATTTATGAATACATCAGAGAAGTTGGGGCTCTATGCTCCACTTCCTATTAACCTACTACTTAGTTCCAAGCTGCTAAACAAACACTGGCTGCTGAGTGGTAATCCCAGACTCTGTCATGCCCATACACACCAGCTAATCCACAGTATATGCAGGATTACTGCACAGTAACTGCAGATAATCTACAGTATCTCCAGCTACCCAAATTCAGAGGCTGGGTAATACTTTGCACAAAGGTGGCTACCCTGCCTGCTTTGGTACGTGGGGCCTTTGGAGACATGGGATAAGGAGACAGGAAATCATAGGGACTTGGGTTGGAGTCTGGGTTTGCTGTGGTACATTACAGAAAAATAAGGGAACTAGGGAGTATGTTCCTGTTTTAAGAAAATAAGAGAACACAGCAGGAAGATAGCAGAGACTTAGTGACAAGTTTTGGGTAGGAAGGTATATGTGTAATTGGGAAGCACAGGGTTAAAGACAGAATTTAAGGCAAAATGAGAGGCAGAAGTATTTATAAGGAATTATAGATCCATTTCATCTTCCTTACCTATAGCTATCCCTGATTATGTTCCTGTAAAGGATGAAATATTTGCTGTGAGATATTTTCATAGAATCGGTCCTGGTTTTGGCCAGGACAGGGTTAATTTTTGCAGTAGCCAGGAGGGGGCATGGCTAGGACCCAAAAGTTATTCTATACCACCTCACATCATTGCCAGAGGTTGCAGGAAGGGAGTCTTTTCTGGGAGGAAGGCTTCTCTTCAGGTTGAGGCAAGTATGGTTCCTATTGAGTCACGAGTTCCACAATGAGCATTTTTGCTTGTGAATCCCTCTCTCTTTTGTACAGTTTTGTTATTACTATGTTGTTGACCCTGTTAATTTTCTTGTCTCGTTCCTGTTTCCAGTAAATTGTTCTTACCTCAGCCTTGGATCTTTGCCTTTTGTGCCTCCAATTCTCTCCAGCCACCCACAGGAGGAAGTGGGACAGGGGGAAGCAGGTGGCACGGTGGTTTTAGTAAGAGCACTAAATTGGAAAATACCATTCCAAAACTATGACAGAATCACAGAATGGTTTGGCTTGGAAGGGACCTTAAACAACATCTAAGTTGCCATGCACAGGGACCTTCCACTAGATCAGGTTGCTCGAAGATACATCTAACTTGGCCTTCAACACTTCAAGGAATGGGGAATCCACAACTTCTATGGGCAACCTGTTCTAGTGCCTCACCACCCTTACAATCAAGAATCTCTTCTTAATCTAAATCTACGCTCTATCATTTTGAAGTCATTCCTCCTTGTCCTGTCACTACATGCCCTTCTATGAAGTCCCTTTCCAGTTCTCCTGTAGGCCCTCTTTGGGTACATTTTAGTCTGATCAGAATCAAGTCTCTTGACCTGCCTTGACAGGGGAGGTGCTCCAGCCTCTGATCACCTTCATGGCCCTTCTCCGGACTCACTTCAACAGCTCCACGACCTTCTTACATTGGGGACCCCAAACCTGGATCCAGTATTCCAGCTGGGGTGTCATGAGAGCAGAGCTGAGGAGAAGAATCACCTCCCTCGCCCTGCTGGCCACACTGATTTTGGTGCAGCCCAGACACAGTTGGCTTTCTGGACTGCATTGCTGGGTCATGTTGAGCTCCTTGGCAACCAACACCCCAAGTCCTTCTCCTCAGGGCTGTTTCTCAATCCATTCTCTACCCAGCCTGTACTCGTGCTTGAGACTGCCTGACCCACATAATATAGGATCTTGCACTTGGCCTTGCTGAACTTCATGAGGTTCGTGTGGGTTCACCTCTCAAGTTTGTCAATATTCTTCTGGATGGCATCCCTTCCCTCCTACGAGTCAACTGCACAATTTTCTAGTGACCTATCCTTATTTAAAGGCTACCTTGATCTGAAAAGTTCTTGAGCAGCAATCACATACCTGTGCCAAATTCCATGTTTTTCTGTCATGAGGTAAATTACACTTTAAGCTGTCATAAACATGCACTTAACATACCTTGTACCCTGAGGGTTAGGTGGCATGGTATGGCCCATAGCTGATGTGCCCCTGTGAGCTGAACTAGCAATGGTTACTGAAGTCTGTTCCTGCCAGTGTCAGTTAAAGCACTCAGGATCTCAGGAGGAGGCTCGGAGCCACATTTGTCCTCCCACATTGAGCTGGACTAAAGCCCACGCTCAAGTATGACTGTGGAGCTGGTCTCCTAGATGAACTTACTGACAACAACATTAACTTTGATGAGAATAAGTCTGGGACCTGTATGAGCAGCTCATGTCAGAGATTTACTTGTAGCTACACTCTTGCATGCAGGGGAAAACATCACTTTTGAGGCAATACTGGATGATATGATTTTGACGCAAATTATTTTGGAATTTCAAAACACTGACATCACATTGTAGTTTTTAACAACCTCTGAAGGCGACATTAAGTCTGACATTTTAATGTCCCACTCATTCTTAGCACATACCAAGGGCAACTCTTGCTGCTGATGCATCATAATTGATCCAGAATGACACCCATGATAAAATGGTAATCAGTATGGAGGGCATATAGGTTTGAAGAATAAAGTAGCCTATATTTCTCTTCAACCTGAAGCTCAGTGAGAGTCTTGGATAGGCACCTGAGAAAAGAAAGAGGAAAACACTGTTATTTATACTGAAGGAAAGACATTTGTACATAGCTGCCTTCAGTTTCTGCGAAAACTAAAGCATAAACATTTTGTGGGGTAGTATGACATCTGCAGAACAGTAGGGATGACACCACTGTATTACTCATTGGTATTAAATACAGTGATAGCCAAGTAGTTTCTATTTGGGAAGAAAAGATAGACAGTAAATTATTTTGGACTATTGAACAGATAGGTGAGCACTGGTTAATTTATTCAAGTACACAGTTTTCTGTATAGAATTTATACTGAGAAAATAAGTAATGTGCATAGTTTTTCATTTACAATGAGGAGTTGTTCATGAGATGAGACTTCTTAATTACATCTGAACTGTAAGAAACATGCGACCTGTGGTGTCAAAAATAAATTGTAATGAATTCCAATAAAGGAAAAGCCTTCAGACTTGATCCTCTAACATCAATTACAGACAGCCCGAACTTTTCATCCAAACATATTTTAAGCAAAAAAAGAGTTGAATTTTTTTGTGTGTGTATATATATATATGTCATGAACCATTGCAACAGAAAAAAATTAACAATGAAAATAATTAATAATCTCAATACCAACTTAATTTCAAATTGGGGTGTATCTTACTGAATTGGTGTTCATTGTACTGAATACATTTTAGACATATATTCAGACAAATATATTTAGAAATCTCAAATTGTTAAAAATAATTGTGACTTTTTTCACCAAATGCAAAGATGATTAAATCTGAGTACAGCTGTATAAAAAAAAGGTAGTCATTCACACATTAGCTCCATGATTTCAGTGTTCACACTACCAGTCTTAGATATACTTCCAACAACTCATCTAAAAGATCTAGTTAGTCCACATCCTAAAAAAGTTTCAATGCATACCAAAAACCCAACCAGATATTAGAACACTTCCAACCCATTCTAATGCAAATATATAAAATATATGAAAGATTACATCTAGAGAAATAATGAAAAATTAAAAACTTCCCTTTAAATTATGCTCATATGCTTGCATATGAGCTTAAGAAACTAAATTTGCCCATATAGACATGAATTATGGATTTCCTAAGAAAGAAAGGGAAAGAAGGAATAGAAAACTGCAGATTTATCTTCATCACATTCCTGAAAGTTCATTACACTTTGAGTCATACGACAGAAAAATGCCACACCGTTTCCAGGCAGCAGAAGCATCAAGGTAATACCAAACTTGTGTAAATATCCTTAAGCGTTGTATCAAACAATCTCAGAACAACTATGACTGGGAAAAGAAATATCTGGTAGGTGTATCTTGTTGCTGTGATTACTTCAGTCAGTAGCATTTTTTTCCAGAATGAAATTTAGTTTCACCAATAGAAGTATCTTGGTGGAATCAGAAAAATGCATTTCATCCTGATCAGACCAAGGTTTTCTGCTGTCTGAAGCAGTCAACACAATTTTCAGCAAGCAAACATCTATACTGCAGCTTGCTTAACATCTTAATTTTCCAATGAACAATGTTTCATTTCAAAAGACAAGTTCTCTCATTGAAACCAGGCCTGCTTTTTCTTTTTGCAAAGCTTAACTTTTTAATTTGGATTCTTATGAAAATGTTTCTGTGGCCTTGTGTCTGCAGATTGCATAAATAAAACAGGAGACCATAATGAAATATATAAACACCGCATCGTGAAATACATGAAAAATGTAGCAGATCTGTTCACCTTTCTGCAATGAGAGTAGAGCATCAGATAGAAATCTTTATAAAGCTGTTGAGAAAAAATATTTAATATAATACACCACTCACTCAAAAGATTCTCTATAAAAGTGTGTAAAACTTTCCAAAAGTCCTGTCCAGGTCTGAATATCAGTGGAATATAACTGATAGAGGTCATAACTGAAAAATCTACCATAAAATACTGATTCTTTGATTAAATAGTGTGAAGGATTAATTCAAGAAAGTTCAGTAGAACTGAATCACTGAATCAAAGTCAATTCTTGCTTTGCTCCAGAGCCAAGGACCCTGAATGCACTAGAGAAATTCAGAGATAGAAGAGAGAACTTCACCATTGATAAAGCACAGAAAATGGTGTGGGTGAAAGAGGTGTGTATCAACAGGGGAGAGACCAATGTGTCACATATACCAGTAATGTTCAGTAATGAAATCCTAAACTGAGAAACCCTACAACAGAGTGCACTTTAGACATTTATCTTGAATGCTTCACCTATGACCATCATCCATTACCTCAGGACCATTTCTGTCTAATTAAGTGAGGTAATTACTGAAACTAGTGAGATCTGGCCTTAAAAGTGGACTCCTCAGAGAGCTGACCTCAAGGCGAGAGACACCAACCTAAATATGCTTCAAGCACCAGGTTCATTGTCCTGAAGTTAGAACCCCAAGAACCATGCCTAGGGCCAGGGCTGTCAGTGCTTTCTGTCTAACTGCTCTAGAGTTGGAGTTAACTGTAACAGAGAGATTCAGTTGCTAACCTGATGGTGCCCTGATCCTTTTGAGATGCCCTGTGACATCTCAGACACATGATGGACACGATATAACCCCTACATCTAGCTGATCAGCACATGGATGCTACAAAGGCTGCCTTGTGCCCTCTCAAATAGCAGTTGATTAAGCAACTCACTTGAACTGCTTACGCATGAGCTTGGTGGCTAAGATCCAGTTCATCGAGCAAATGAAACCTATAAAAGTATCCACCACCTCCTAAAATACATTCCTACAGGGCACTGAATTTGTCTCCAGAATGTACCAACTGTACGGACTAGATTCTAACCAACTCAGTTCAAAGGTTGAATTTATATTCACCATAAATCAGAACAGGATGAATCCAAACCCTGCAAGTCTCAGAGTAGATTTTGATGATTTGAGGCTCCTGGGCAATCTAAACAAAAGTCTTGCTGGCATTACAGCTGCTTACTGCAGTTGACACACAGACAATAGACTTTGTTAGGGTCAGACTGAAACTGAAACACGAACTGGAAGCCTCATTTTTCATCATACTACATAGCCAGGGTTCTCCTTTAGATACCTCTCCCTGAGTCTATGAGTTTGTATTACTTTCAACTGAATTGCTTTTATGTCTAATGATACTATCTATTGACCCTGCCTTCAGCCTGCCATCTCTGCTACCATATCTCACCTCCAGCAAACAGGCCACAGGAGTCTGTGGAAAAAAATACAATTAAAAGAAGGACCCCTCCTTTTGTCCTGTAGTTAATACCCACTCTTTGTCTGAATGGCTAAAGCTCAGTGAAAAGGATGGGTCCTAACCTTCATGGAGCACTGTAAGTTCAGATCTTTCTTTATCTAAGAAGGATCTATTCTGTGGATTACTTATTTAATATAAGTTGACTTCTGGGTAAGCTCAACAATTACACTGTTACTTGTCTGATTATGATCGCATAATGATTCGTTAATTAAAGCTCAGTAGAGATTAATTAACAGGAAATTCTAGTTGTAAAGTTTCCATTAAATTTTGTGTTTTTTTCATTTTTACCTTGTTTTGCCTTGCTATCCTTCCTCCCATCTCATAAAACATGTTGATGTATATGGGCTAATTTAAATACTATAGGAATAAGAGAATTTTGTCAGAAGTATTTAAATCTAGCAGTATTGGGAATGAAAGTATGAAAAAACTTAATCAATACTTGAGCCCCAAATATTTCTTTTTCACATATTTGGGCACTTGATAAAAAGAGATTACTTGTTTCTGTTCCCATTTCATTAAAAGTTAGCAAGCTGAAATATCTGGCTTCAAGGCTAAATTAGTCTCTTGCTGTTTTATCCAAGTATGGAACAAGATAACAGAGTTGGTCAGTTACAGAACTCTTATTTTAATATGTTCTTCTGGGAAGATTCTTTAGCTAATTGGAAATGTACTTTATGTACACTGATCTTTCAGAATACAGCAAATATTTCATTTTCAAATATTTTAAGACTACTCTCCTCTTACCAACAGGTTGCTAACATGGATTTGACTGCTACGTGGTGTTTTTCATATCCCCATTCCTGTTCATTATCTAACATTTCGGGATAACAAGCATTTAGGAGGGAGATTCAGGTAACAGACTTAGCATTACATTTCAGGTGTTTGAATGCAGATACTTGCACATGAATGGAGTATGAACTGTCAGTGGAAACCATGGAGATTAGACTTAGAGCCAGCTGATTCTAAGGGTGTGATTTAATGGCCTATACTGAGGTGTCTGAGGCCATTTGAGACATGATAGGCTAAAGAAGAGCACAGCAGAGCACTACTTAAGTACTCAATTCTGAAGCACTAGATGGGGAACAAGGACACAAGGCTGTAAGAGGCCAGAACAGCAGCCTAACTGCTAACCAGGATCTTCCACAGAAGCTCACAAAGCAGCACATTGTTATGTTTAGGCAACTGAATAGTCTTAAAATATTAATTTGAGAAAACAAGAGGTATTCAAGAGCTGAATACTCTTTAGGCTTCACTGACAGCACTGATTGGACGGCAGTTGACTGTGGGCTTAACTCACTTACTGACACGTGGGCATCCAGTGCCATTTAAATATCTTATGGTATCCTGTATGGCCTTCAGTTGGTGCTAGAAGGATAGTCAAACCAGGTATTTCTTCTTCATAGGAATTTAAAAATCACGGATAAAGGGGACAGGCTATTGTACATGGCTTTGCAGATACCTTCTAGGAGGTTTTATTTAATTCCCAATCAAGTCCTCTCTTTTTTTAAACTACATGACCATATTTGTTTCTCCTCTAATCTCAGGTATGTTGTTTTCTAGATTTTCACTCACACTTGCTTATTTTCCATGAACCCTCTTTTATTGCTCCATTACTTCCTTCAAGAGACCTACCCTTGACCACAAATACTAAGCTCAAGCATCATCAATGTAAATCAAACTTCTTTTTATGATGAGATTTGTGGTTTTGTTTGTTTCTTTTCTTTTTCTCCCAAAGAAGATCTTACTGTCTCATGTTCAGTCTAAGATCAACAACAACCCCTATATTTCTACACACAGAACCCTGGCATAACCTGGCATTCTCCATCTTTAATTTGGATAGGAATAATTAGCTGCACAGATGCTGTATTTTGAACTTGTCCATACTGAATTGTGTAATTTTTTTAAGATATGTGTTGCTAATTTGGCAAGATAAATTTTAACTTCCATTCCATACCTCAACAGGCATGCAATTCCTCCAGCTCCACCCAGATTTCTGTCATTATTGATGGGGATTTTCCCATGCTTATCATTGCTTCTCAGTAGTCACTATGGGAACAGATTTTTCCCTTTGCCTAAGTTCCACAAGATTATACAGCACAGTTTCTCTCAAAGGATAGGAGAAATAACTGATCCAAAAGCTGTTTATGGCATGACTCTGAAGTCTTCTTTTAGTTTTATTCAAATCAAAGCACACAACAACTGAAATGTCTGAAATGTTCACTGAGATATCGCACTGAAAGAACTAATATCTCCCCCTGAGACTTCAATAACCTCAAAGCCAAAAACAAGCCTAACTTATTTCCCAAAAAAATGTCAAAACTGGCCCTAATTACTAGGACTGTAAGAAACTCTTGAGAAGAAACTTGAAAACTGTCTGCCGACTTTATGTATCTGATCTGCTGGCGTGCTCTAGGTTTAGATTTAAACATGGGGTTTTGAGAAACAAATGTGATGTTTCCCTGCGTGGAAATACTTGTCACAAATTGTCATAATTAATGAAGGATTTTTATAATGCCCTGTATCAAAGCAATAGTAAATTCAGTATTGTGTCTTCATCAATGAAAAAAATTAAATGTTTCAGAAAATGGTACAAGAAACATGCTGTTCTCTGTGACTCCCTAATGCCCCGCTGTCTTAAACCCTGAAGCATGAGACTTTTTTATTCCTTTCATCAGTTTTTTTAAGAAAGAATCATTTGTATTCTGAACATTTGGCCAGTCACAGAAATATGTGCTCATAGTTTAAATATCTCCTTTATTTGTCACATATCTCTTTGGATTTCTGGTTTGCCTGTATTTTACAAAACTCTCCTCTCTACATTACTAAGTCATGCATTAAGTGAAATATTTCATACTGAACTAAAAGGTGGCCTTGGACTGTCATGAAAGCCACTCCACAAGTAAGTTCTCTGTATTCTCATTGTTGTCTAGAAAAGCCTTCCTACAAAAGCATATCCAGTCCTGCAGAGGTGCAGGTAAGCCCTGGCTGTCAAAGGTGATACCAGCTGCAGGACAGGATATAAGATTAGAGCAAATGATTCTCTATAGAAAAAAAATCTTCCATTCACAATGGTAAACAAGAACACCAGCAGTTGGCAAACCCCCTCATAATAATTTCAATCCCAGCAATATTTACATTTTGTTCTGAAATACAACTTGTGTTTCTGTGTACTTTGAAACAGATGCTGTGTCCAAAGAGTGGGTGGAGTGATGCTTACAAACATGATTGAGCTGTGCTTCGTTTGTTCTAGTGTGCTGAGACAGATGGAACAGCACACTCCTGTGGTCTGAACAGCACTGAAAATCTGAAGGCCCCCAAGAAAGAACTAAATATTGGCTCCACATGTGCTGATGGTTTTCTATGTTGCTTTGGTTTTGTCACATATATTCCTATTTTGGTGTCTAACATCAAATACGTAAATTAATCTTGCACTTTGTAATCTAAAGGCATTCAGTGCTATGAGTTACTACTAACTTTTATTCCATCTTCAAGGAAACAAGCAAGGATTTAATTTTAGCATCTACAACTTCTCTGGGCAACCTATTGTCTCACCACTGTTACAGTAAAGAATTTCTTCCTATATCTCATTTAAATATACCCTCTTTCAGTATGAAAAGTATTCAGTATTTCATTTGCCCTTGTGCTGTCACTTCATGTTTTTATAAAAAGTCCCTCCCTAGCTCTCTTGTTTGCCCTATTAAATATTGGAAGGCTGCTAGAAGGTTCTCTTCTCCAGGCTGAACCCCAGCTCTCTCAGCCTGTTTTCACTGGAGAGGTTCTCCAGCCCCCTGATCATCTATGTGGCCCTCCATGGACTTGTTCCAACAGATCCATCTTGGAGGCCCCAGAGCTGAATGCAGGTCTGGAATTTTCCTGGGCTCCTACCTCCAGGCTTTTTCAAGTAATTGATTTATCCAAATGTGCAACACAGGTTACATATCGTGACTGGTAAAAACAGTTAATTATTATTAATAAAACAGTAATTTTCATGCACAAGAAAATGAAACACTAAATGGGCAAATGGCAATACTTGCCTGTGGCAAAGACAACATTCTTTGACACCAGTCTGTATTCCACAATAGAGAACTGAGGAAGTTCAATCCTCTCCACGCCAGTGACTGCGTTATCTCCACCTCTCCAGTAGAACTCGATGTCATCAGTTGTGTAGCCATCTGCAGGCAAAACAAGAAAGTCAGAAATAACAGCAGACTCAAACAAACATGCAGCTTGTCATTTGAGACAACAAAAGGAATTGGAACAGCTGTATGGTATTTTGCCTGTGGGAAGGTCTCCCAAGTTGCTACACCATTACAGTCTGCCTGGGAATTTTAGGCAAAATACCCAGCTTTCTTTTTATTTTATCTTTTTTTTTTTTTTTAAATCACTCATATATTATTCACTAATGGTCACAGTGAGAAGAAAACACTATCCAAGATTTAGGATATCGAAATGCATTTAGCACTGAAACCAAATGTATATTTACACTGATAATCACAGAAGAAGGTTGATTATTCAATGAAAACACAGAAACCTAACTAGGGCAAACCTTATCCACTCACAGTAAACTGAATTGCATCATTTCCACTAGCTTCCACTAGTGGAGGACTACAGCTGAATATGGAATATATACTAGTATTTTCTGTATATGGCCCACAATTTCCAGCCAGTAGCAGAAATGGACGAGGTACTTCTGAAGTGCAAATATACATATGAGTATTGCAATCCTAGGACATTACTAGGTGAAAAAGAGAATATTGTTCTTTTTTAACACAATTTCAAATCATAAATAGGGTCAATCTGAATTCCCAGGGTAGGTCCTGCACCAAGATGATCCATACATAATAAAGCATACTGAAAGAAAATTGTATTACAGTGTTTGCTCTCTTGAAAATAAATCTGATAAAAATACAAATATTCATCTCTCATGTTGAAGATAAGCATCCAGTCACTACCTCTGCCAAGTCAGGTAGGAATACTAAATTATTTCATTCTGTTCTAACCTGATTTTTCTAGGATGTACTCATCTATCTAGAAATTGATGACTCCTTATACCTTTTAATAATTCAAATAAATAGACCAAAAAAAAAACCCCAAATGGTGATAATTACATGATTCAAATAGTGTTTATATAGACACATGTAAATGTTACACAGTTCTAGGAAACAAAAAAACTCCAAAAAACCACCTAGATCCAAACTAGATTTCACATTCATTTTCTTAGGTACGTACAGCTTTCTATTTCCAGAGTACAGTTTTGTTCATCTAATGGGTATCTTCTCAAGTCCATCATACATGCTGCAGTGGTTGTGATTCTGAAATACAAGCATCAAACTGTTTTACCATACAGCCAGTAATCCAGGTTTTGGGTGATGGGGTTGTTTATCTTCCAAAGTCAAGACCCTCTGAAGAACAGCTTACAGTAACTGAGAATCTGGTCTGTATTTTTATATTGAACAGCAGCCTAATAGAGCAGCAATTACACTGATTTTCAGTGGAACAACTCGCTGTGAATTACCCTTATGCAACCAGTCCCTTTGGGGTTCAATGGACCTATCCTCATATGCAAATATTACATGAACATTTGCTGAGATTAAAAGATATGACTTTATAACAGAAACCATGAAGTGAAAATAGTCTGCTACAAATGTCAAAATGATTACAGCTGCATGAATAACTGATTTCTTGGTTTTGTGGCAGGTCTAGAAAAAAAACCCTGAAATGTTAAAAAAAAACTTTGAAGTCCAGCAAAATGCTTTGTTTTAAATTTTATTTCCCTGATTTTCAAATTCAAAGAGTATTTTGTTGTGAAGCTCCATATTGAATTTTAAATTTTCTCCTCAAATAACAATACAATTTCTCTACTCTATTTAATCATTTAGCATCCTTAGGCTGGTTTTGCATTTCACTATTGAATCAGCATTATTCATCAACCTCTTGTATATCAGGAGAGTCAACAATCATGTGCAACCAGAACAACTGTCTTAACAGCTTCACACAGTACTGTCACTTTATTTTGTAATTAATAGATTTACATATTTGTACTAACTTTAGACAGATATAACCATATGCTCATAATTAATCTGCAGCATATTTCGATGTTTTCCTGAATCACAGCCTTCACCAAGGGTACATACATTATTATGCATCATTGTTTTTATAATGGCTTCCTATAAATTTCACATTTAAATTATCTTCTAAATCTGACTAGCTCAATTCCTTACTGATCCTTTCTTGATATAAACAAGACATGGACCTTGCACACGGTTTGTTTCTAAACAAATAACATTCTAGTGATAATTTATGCTAATAAATACAAGATGGGAAAATGCCTTAAATGTACCTCTAAAAGCTGGAACCCTCAATGCTTTTTTCATGTATTTTCTCTAAAGTTCTTTCTTCTACCCATTAACCTTCTCAAATTACAGTCTTCTAATCTGGTAAACTACTTTAAAATTCCAGAGGAATGTTTCAAGAGAAAAAAGTAGCTGTGTGCTTTTCTTCACATCTTTCACAGAAAAAAAACAACAAAACATGTTATTATGAATGTTCTATCCAATCTCAAAGAAAAGGAAGGAAAGAATACCTATCCTTAGCATATAGGATCATTTTAGATGAATAACTCCATAATCTCTAAAGAAAGGGATTAAGACCATCATTGTTATCTCACAGGACAACAGGGGCCACCCTTCTTTGACTGAGAAGTTGCTTTTGCAGGAAAATACTGTAATTTGCACAGGGAGGGACAATTGTATGAGCACAAAGGCAATGAATGGAGAAGGAGAAGAAAAAGCTCAAGTATCTGTTACTCATCACATCTTCTAACTTGTGTTCCTACCAGTAGCTAATGAGAAAGGCACACGCCTGATTTTTGTGCTTTCCAGCCTTACCTACAGCATGATCATGTCTTTGTCACTGCTGACTTCTCTGACTGTCCTCTGAATACTCTTATGCTAGTCCCACAGGATTTCAGGTACTAAGTATTGTATCACAAGAGGATACTTAGGTCAGCCTTCCTCAAAACTGCATCTAGGAATTGCTCTGGTTCCTCTGTTAAGACAAATTCCAGTGGGCTGGAGCAGTGTACAAACAGCAGTTCCTCAGTTGCTCTGCAGTTTAGGAAAACCTCTTCCCAAAAACCAGTATTTGAAAATGCCCTTCTGGAACCTCAGGCAGGGTGCTATGACACAGGGCTATTAATTATGGAGATGATTAATCATCCAGGTTGTTAGGCCTGGAGAAGAGAAGGTTCCAGGGGCATCTTATAGCAGCTTTCCAGTACCAAAAGACAGGCTGCAAGAGAGCTAGAGTAGGACTTTTTAGAAGGATGTGTAGTGGTAGGACAAGGAGGAATGGCTTTAAACTGAAAGGTGGCAGATTTAGATCAGATTTTAGGATGAAATTTTGACTTTGAGGGTGGTGAGGCACTGGAACAAGTTGCCCAGAGAAGTTCTGGATTCTCCATCCCTGTAAGTGTTAAAGGCAAGCCTGGACAGAGCTTTGAGCAACCTAATCTAATCAAAGGTGCCCCTGCCCATGGCAGGATGATTTTTTAAGGTCCTTCCCAACCCAAAGCTTCCTACAACTCTTTGAATATCTCCTCAATACGATGACTAAGAGCAGCTCTAGCTAAGCATATAAAACTCAGATTAGCATACAGTCTTAGAGGAGAAAATGTATTCTTAAATCTGTGATTATTGATAAACAAGCAATGATAACCTTAACAAAGCCATACTGATTGTGCAATGAAAGGATCTTGCTCCTGAGTCAAATAATAACTGTGTTCAAAGTAAAACAAGTAGGCATGCTTGGAAATTGTTGATATGAAGGTTCTCTGCCATGCTTTAGAAGATTCGCCTACACTAACCTAGGTCTCATGTGGGATTGTGCAGCAGAATCCACATGAGCTAAGTTGATACAAAAGGGAATGTGCTAGCAGACTCTTAACTATTATGTTGTGTAACTAGCTTTAAATGCCAGCCATACAGAACATAAATGATTAATTTTACAATATTGTAAAAAATTATACAGCTGGCAAACTTATATTCAGCTCAATAATTGTGTTATGGCTTTTAAGGAATGTATTTTTATTTTGGCCTGTTCACATACTCTAGTGGTTTTGCATCAGAAGTTCCAGTACCAGAAACTGCACATTCTTACTCAAGAAACTTTTTTACACTACAGAAAAATAGATATTTTTAATTTAATAAATATCCACTAGAAAAGAAGATACAGCTAGAAATAGACAGAAACAAATTTACCTCAGTTTTTCAAATTAAGTTTAGTACTCAGAGGTCTCTCCTCAATGAACATTCAAGCAACCAAATTTAACTTGCACAAATGCACACCAAAAACAAATATGAATGGCTCAGGCTTGTGCATGCTCCCAAGAAGAGTTTTTATGGGACGGGATGGTGTCTGACAAGACAACAAGGTTTCAAGAACTCCTCATCATGGCAGTGACAGAGAAATGATTAGGACCCAAAGATGAAGTGGGACACAGACACATATACAATGTGGGTGAAAGCAACACACAAAGGAAATGTTTTTGTTTATAATTTCCTAGTCTGGTTTTCTCTCCTCTGGGTATACATTCTCATATCCTTCTCTGGTACTATATTCCTGGGCACATTGCCTTTGATTATACTGCTGTATTTTATAGGAACCCCATCCGTGATGGGCTGTGAGCTGCTGCATACATAACTGAGAGGATATTTTATGTCCCCAAAACTTTACAGTATGAATCAGAATAGGCAATACAGATACTTCATATGTGACTAGGTCACAGTCCTGACAGTTCACATTCTTGATACAGAAATACATTCATCCAAAAAAGAACAGAAGCAAGCGTGGTTGCCTTGTCTGACTGATCACAACTAACCTTTTCATCCTGCAAATGTTCATCATGTTTCATAAGTGGGTAATAATTATGTGAGTCCTTTCAGATAAAATACACATATTCCTCCACTCTACTTTTAACATTGTGCTGCCTAAGAACAAGAGGTTTATGCATGAGAAACACACAAGCAGACTCTATTATCCCCAGACTGTAGTCATTTCCTCCTTAGTCTCCTATGAAAAAAAAAGCACTCTTTAATAATCATTTCCCTTGTAGACTGTTCTGAAGAAGGTAGAACAAATTCAGTCTGTTGCCCAAAGAAAAAAACTCCCCAGAAATGGGCTGAACTTCAAAAAGCTACTGTTCCATTCCCTCACTATCACAGACTTCTGCTGCAGTAGCAAAGTGCTTTCTCTAAAATAGAAAGGAAGCTTGGATGACTGAAGGTCAAGTCTTTCAAACTGATAAATCCTACATTGTTCAGAAGAGAACACACATCCAGTGTGGCCTTGGGATCACTTTCAATTATATATGTGTTGAGGAACTGCTTTGCTCTGTGGATGTTCTGTAATTACTTGCAACCTTCCAAAATTTCACCTGTTATTCTGAGTGACCCTGTGCTTTGTGGCACATAAACCACCAAGTTTTGGCCTCAGCCCACATTGTCCCTGGACTGCAGCTTGAGCCCAATGCCTTTGGGATGCTCTGAAGCCATAACAGAGGAAGTAGGGTAGTGATGGAACAACACAAAGCACAGGTCCTTAAATCAGCAGAGATAAGGCTCAGATATTTTCTTCCTTTTGATCACAATGTCCAATATTTTGCCACGATTTAATTTAAGACAGTCATTCTTCACTGTGCAACTTCGCTGCTCCATATCATGGATATCTCACCCTGGCTATTACATTCTTTCAGAGAGAAGAAATGAGAAGAAGTGTGCTACTGGTGAAAACCCTGCTAAGCAAATCCTATTATGTGAAATGCATTTGATGTGGACACTTGTATTCTGCAGATGAAGAAGCCAACTTAATCAAATACACTACTCTATGACAGATAATCCTCACCTGAATAGGTCCAAATGTTTTTAGAGTGTGACAGAAAGACTTCTATGCATTATTAGGACCACAAGAATTCTCATTTCCTTTACTTTTTTATTATATTGCTTGTGGGGATATTTCTTGATGTGAAGAAAACAAATGTATCTCAGATTTTTTTTTCTTACATTTTACCACTTGTAGAAAGAATCCCAAACTGGGTCAATACCTGGCTAAACAAAAGCCTCCTTTTGCTAAAACTGCTTAATTACAGAGAAAACATTCTAAACGTCAAAGTTTCATATTAGGCTATCTCTATTTTGTCTAGAAAAATTCATTAATTCTCCATACTTGTAATAACATTTAAAAAGGTGAGGGCCAAGACCCAAATCAAGTAAAAAGTTCAACCACTAATAAAAAAAGAGGTAAAAAAAATGTAAAATATTGATACTGGATATGTAACACATCTACACCACTTTTTCTGATCTCATTCATTTATATATTAGGGGCTTTTTATCCTTCACTACCTATGTGTACCAATCTTGAATATTATCTCTGCTTAGATATACAAGAAACTTCAAACTATGGAAATGGAGCTTTCAATGGAAAAGACTTGTTTTGCTGCCTTAAACCACTGGAGCAAATGAAGCAACCTGTTCAAAGAAAGCAATATTTTGATACTACTGGGCTTTCCATTTTTGCTGGTGTAGTTAAGTTTATTAAGGGAGGGATACTTCAGCATTTCTAACCATAAAAGCTATGGCAGAAAAGAAAGAAAACACAAGTCAAACCTAAAATAGGTAGAAAGTAAGAGAATGTAAGGTCACTTTGTACCTCTGGTTTGACATGTAGCAATTACAGGGCTGATTCCTGCTAGAAGAAATCACTGCAAGTACCAGGTCATGATCTTAGCTGTGGCTGGCTCCCCCCAGCCAGGGCTACTTCTGGCTTTTTAATAGACTATGAACACTTCAAAAGATGACATAAGCACCCACATTCAATCTTACCGCCTGTATTTTGGACAGGATTTTCAGGTTTACAATTAATATGTGGCTTTCTGCTTCCTATAGCCAGTGGGCTTTCCAGATATGGTGACTGTACAGAAACAGATAAAACCTGACTGAAGGCGCTTCTGGCAAAATTAAGAAACATCGAGTGTGTCATTTGTTTTCTACTGGCATCTCTTAGAGTTACAGGGAAGGTTACATAAAAAACTAACCAATGTTTGTAATAACCTTGTACCAGGAAGCAGCCATCAACAACACATCACAGCAGTGATGAAATCTTCACCGTGGAAGCACAAACCTGAGGCCGTAAAGCACCGTTCCGTCCGGGTGAAGGCGAATCATTCTGTTCTTCACAGTAACGCCGTGCACAAATGATTTCTTGTCGTTTAAGAAGTACGTGTCAGGCACCCAAAGCTGATCTGCCACCCGGTTATCAAGTGTGAGGTTGAGAGGGATGCCAGCATAAGCCAGCCTCTTATCTCTCCAGTACTGTTGAAAATACATCGTCAAAGTGTAATCCTGGGGAGGAAAAAAAAAGAGAAGTACAATAGTCAACCGTAGTTTGTGTAACCAGGAAAATAATTTCCATGTTGATAGCTTATTCTGCTGTTGATTAAATTTAATATTTTAAAATGCTTAATAAAAATTAAATATTTGTATCACTTAATAAATAGTTCATATCATTCAAGTATCACTCTAGACTAAGGGGGCATTTCAAGTCTTATGAAATTCAGCTGGTATTGGTATCTTCTGTCCTGCTCCTCTTTCATGTAGCTCCTCTGACAACTGCCTAAAATTATCATATTTGTGCAACGATAAATGACACAATGGGTAAATACTGCCATCTTCCCCATTTTTAAAAATGATAGATTAATGGAAAAAAAATTAAAGTATTTTGAAGCAGTATGCAAATTTCTGTCTGAAAAATAAGCTGAAAATATGTTGATTATACATATTCCTTTGTATGAAACTGCATTTTGTAGTAACATAAATATTTTCTCATCAACAGGCTACACTGGTACTTTGAATAAAAGTAAATTGTATTAAAGTCCCACTAATGTCAATGTTTGGTTTTCATAATTTCGTCAGTTTTAAGGTTTATGGTGTCTACTATGAGCTGAAATCACTAATGCAAAAGCCTAAACACGGATACAGGAGCTTCAAACATCCATTTTGAAATTCTTTATTTCATTTCACAATTTGCTAACCTGACTTTTTCATGTCACAAGAAGGCTATATTGAAAAGTTTTGAGAGTCTTAGATGGTAAGCCTCACTTATTAGCTTCATGGTATTATAAAACATTTAAAAAACACCTTGAAATATTTTAAAGTTATGTATCAGCAATATTGTAAAAAATAAATCACATAAAAAAGAGACTGTAAGTACAGGCCATTAAAACTCTGATTTTCAAATTACAGAAGTGCTCTAAACAATAAAACTCTTCATGAGGTTTTTCACAAAACACTGAGAAATTTATGTGATCTCCAAACACATTTAAATATTTAGCAGCAGGTGTGCAAGCCACAGGATACCTGCATTTGCATCTGGTTCTACAAGCTGGTGATGCAAAACCCCTCAGGCTTGCTGCTTGTTTGGGAAAAGGATGCTCAAGTTTTCTAAGCACGGCTGTTGGGAATGGTCATTCTTGTAAAGGGTTTCATGTAGAGACAATCCAATTTCAGGCACTGCTCCTGCCCTGTTTCCCTCAAGCCCTATAGTCTTTCCTTGAAATCATATGAAACTTGAGCCTGCTTTTCACACTCAGAGCCTTTGCATTTTTGATTCAGTGATTCATTCTCTTTAATGAGGGAGCTGCTATGGTTTAAAGAAATCAAATTTAATTGCTTAGAAAAATAAATCATTATAGATATCAAGGAAAAGCTGTTCCCATTTTAAGAAACTAATAGGAGACCTTTGAAAACAAAAGGGCCCAGTAATGGGAGAAAGGAGCCCACGTGGAACTGCCTGGAAGGAATCTCATTCCTCAAACCTCAAATCTAACATGACTGCTGGATAGAATGAGCTCTAACGTTTTTGTCAGCAGCTTTCTTCAGTGGGACTGATGGTCTCTGCTCAGCAGTGAATGAGGTGCACGGGACACTGGGGGCACCTGCCCCGCTCCCATTACCATGTCACAAAGGTCACCTCTCTCCTCACGTTCTCTGCAATCAGTTTTCTAACACTGATGCATTTAAACTAATATTCTCTACCAGCTCTGTTTTGCTCTGTTTAATTAAAGCTTGTTTCTATTAGCATTCCAAACTTGCCAGCTTCTACAGTGGTTTGCACAGCAAAGTCAAGAAATTTAAGATTATAAAAGTTGTGGACACAAGAACAGTATACCAAAAGCTCACTAGGTGCAATTGCACAGTATATGCACAAAGTAATACTAAAAAATGAAATAAAGAAAAGGGGTCACACTGCATAGCATTGAAAGAAGTGAGCTGGCCAGCACCAAAATGTAAGATAACAGTACATCTGAAAAAAAGTTTTAAGCTAGCTTTCTTTTTCCTTTGGTTTGAGATAAAATATGTTAACACCTAATGAATGGAGTAATTAATTAGCTAAATAAAACATACATAACAATAAAAGCACTAATAATCTGGCATTTTATTTTAAAATTACATTTACTATGTCAGGGAACAACATTACAAATTACACGCAGAAACACAACTATCAAACATCCAAAACTTATTGTGTCTTGAATGAAGAAAGGACTTCCAAATCACATTCTCTAAGGCACAAATTTCACTAGAGTTTTCTCTATCAACCCTGTTTACTTCTTTTATCCTCTTCATTTTAAACTTTAAAATACCCTCAACACTCTACATCCATTAATGTGTATGATTATATTTATATTTTGTACATTTGGGCTCTGCCAGCCTTACCTGCTCTAAAGCTGATGATAAAGAATTAAAATGAACTGTGCTTGGCCACCATCACACTTTTTTCAACTCCCTCAAAAAAAGGAGCAGCAAACTTGTGTAAGAACTGCACTGAAACTACTTGGCTGTACAAGGGTGATAAATGAGCAGGAAAGGCCAGTTCCTTAGGGTGGCTCCACCCTAGTCACTCACTACCTGCAGAAAACATACTTTTAAAAAATATGGCTATCAGCTCTCCTTGTTCGATTAGCTAATTTTCCACACTTTGTACATATAAAGAAAGTTTTTTCCCTAGTCTAGACCCCAGAGGAAAACATAAAAATGGTTTGAGTGTAGACTGGAAAATATGTACTAGGTATTTCAGGGAAATGAAAAAATGAACTTTTACCACTCATTAGTCTACATAGTTTATTAAGGACCACCTCCCTCCAGGGAGCTTATGATGACTAGTTCTGATATACAGGTCAAGAGGGCAGATGTCTAAAGCCAGAAGAGATTCATCCCACCACAGCTACTGCATTAGGGTGCTATTGTATGTCAAAGACGACACAGAGCTGCCAGCTTTAGGAAATTCTAACTACTGCAAAGAGCAGTGGACAATTTTCTCAGCAGCAAAGACCTCTATAAAACATATTTTATTCCCCAAAAAATACAACACAACATTCAACATTTACCTCTCCAGATCCTCACAGTAATAACACGCTTCAGGTCAAGCGTGGTGCCAAAATCACTCAAAGCCCTGGCAAGGCAACAAACACAGTGCTCCTCAAGTACAGCTGAAATGTCCTCAAAAAGGGAGAAGCTCAACTGCACAGGCAATGTCATCTTTCTTTTGTACAGTTAAAGACTCTGAAACATTCTACAAGGATAAAGGACAGTGTTGGGCATCCTTGAGTTTCTAGCACGGCAACAATGCCACTGTTGTAAGGACAGGTGCACAAAAAGGTGTGATGGCTGTTCTTTCAATGCAGTTTTCCCTGGTCAAGGGGAGTGGAAAACAGAATTTAAAAACCTCAAATAGTAGATAACACTTTGGATAGTATTAAGGTGAGACATTTATATACAACAATAAAGAGGCTGGTATCACAACTTTAATAGTGTATAATACATCCGTACTCATGTGTACTGCTTATGATTTTAACACATCTTAAGCAAGAATTATAGACTAACAAATATTGTATGTGCTAACCATGCACAAACAAATTTTAAGCATTTTCTACATTATATTTGTCTCTTGTATAAGCATACCATGCAGGAAACACAACTAACCCACTCCTAAAAAGCCACTTCAGACAGATAATGTACAGTACCTAATGCACTGACCCTAAGACCAATGAATGAAAAATACTAATATGCTGTAACAGTAAAGGAAACAATTACTTGTTTTCTATTACAGGGCTTGTTATCTCTCGTTTTTCTCTCCTGCACTCAAGAACAGTGAAAGAAAAATTCTAAAATATAATTTGCTCATCAAAATAAAATTAACATAATTATAGCAGCAATAATGCTCTAAATTTGACTATCACTGTTTGCTCTCTTACTGTATTATGTATCAGGGATGTTACAAGCTTTTTATTAGCTGTAAAAATGTTCCTTCAAAATGACTGCCAGATAAACACTGCAATTAATAATTAAGATAGAATACTGTTAATATGGCAAATAAGCAAAAAAAAATTATTCATGAGAAATGAAAGAATATACTGAAAATTACTGGAAATATTGGGAAAAATTATGCAAAAAACCTATTTCACTGATTGGGAAGATAGCCTTGTGTCTACCTGTAATGCAGTTTCCTGATTTAAATTTGCATTTGGATGTAAATTCACATCCTTGTTTTCTTGACCAAAAGACAAATGTGATTATTACCATCAGTTTTTGGATTATTTAATTTTAATGAGTTAATAAAGTAAGTACTCATTCAGTGGATAAAAAGATTTACTGAAAACCCATGCCTTAGTCTCTAATAACTCCAAAGTCTCTCCCCTCATCTTCTACACGATTTCAAAACTTAGATATGGCTCCTGTAGTATAAAGAAACATTTCTGCACCACTGATGATTGAATTATACTCTTCCCAATAACCTCAAAGTGAGTTTCAAAGCCAAACTCATGAAACCTATGCTTTGACAACATATCTGTAAATCTGTCACCCTACCATACACAGAAGAGACCTGACAAACAGATTAATGCACACATTAATTCACACAGCCAAATATGAGTTTAATAAAAACATATTCAGAAAGGCTAACCATAAGAAATCATAATTTACCAGCAATGCTATTCAGTTGTGTGAGATGATCACAAAAACATTTTTCTCAGCATCCAAAATTTTCCAATAGTTTCAGCAACTTTCATATTAAAGAAAAGTTTTATTAAAGAAAGAATTTAGAATCACAGAATCATTAATGATGGAAAGGATCATTGAGTCCAACGACTAACCACCATGTTCAGCACCAAACCTTACCCCCATATGCCACATTTACAGGCCTCTTGAACACTTTCAGGAATGGTGATGTCACCACTTCCCTGGACAGCCTGTTCTATTACCTGAAACCTGTATTTTAGCATTATACTTTACGTGTTGACATTTTGGGTTGTCCAATGCCTAAACAATAGTTTCTTGCTTAATTGCCA